TTTTTTTTTTTTTTTTTTTCCTCGGGCCTTTTCTGTCTCCCACCTCATTGTGTTGCCCAGCTTATCTCATCTGGACCTGAGGGGGGTTTATTAAGCCTCCTGTGACTTTCATCCGCACCGTACACACGACTCATCCTGTTGAACCTGCAGGCTAAGGTGTACATGATGTTGTCAGCTGGACTTTTTCTCATTTTCCTGTTTTGCAATATCCACTAAATGTGCTTGATTTTGCGATGAAGAGCGCTTTCTGAGGGAGTTGAACTAAAGAAATTGCATAATAGTCAAGTGGGGGGAAAAAAGCACACTTGGTGAAAAGTGGGGAATGTGTATTCAGACCCCCATTACTCTGACACCTAAATGAAATCTATTGCAACTAGCTGCCTTCAGAAGATAGCCTATTATAAAACAACATGTGTGTAATTTTTTATTCTAAATACAGGTGTCCAGAGAATGATTCAGAGAACAATAGTAAACAAACAGAAGCAAGACTACATAAGCTGTTCATCCACCTAAAATAACCGGCTGAGCAATGACTGTATCTGAAAAAGGAGCTCCTGTAGATGAAACAACATTTTTACAAGATGCCCCATTGGTAGTTTTGCTAAACTTGCTAGTGCAACTTCCAGTATGGCTTTTGTATTTTTTGGCCTTTCTGGGCTGCCGTATAATTTGCCAAACATGCAAAATATTATGCAAAAAATATCATTTGTATTTTGCCCTGTCACAATAACACATTTTGGATGAGAAATTGTCCCAGAAGCTGTGATGAACTGTACTGTTATTTTGAGACCATGTTCAAGTAATGTAAAGACAATGGCATAATAATGATCCAGCATGTTTTCATTTATCATGCAATTTAATGGGTTATTGTTTATTTGTATCACTCTGAACGCATCCCTGTTGTGAAACGGAGAGGTGGGAGCATCATGCTGTGGGAATGCCTTTTTCAGCGATGAAGATAGAACTGACGGAGCTAAGTAAATGCTTTGGTAACATGCTCCCCTGCCCACAGGTCCGCATGCTGGCCGACTTGAGCCTGGTCGGCTGCTACAACATGTCCACGGTTCCAGAGAAGAAGAGAGCCCAGCTGCTGCTAGAGTCAGCCAAGAAGAACCTGCGAGACATGGCCTTCTTCGGACTCACAGAGTACCAGAGGAAAACGCAGTTCCTCTTTGAACGAACCTTCAGGTTGCGCTTCATCAGGCCTTTCATGCAGTACAACAGCACCCGGGCTGCAGGGGTGGACCTGGACAACGCTACGGTCAGTGCCGCCAACACATTACCAATACCAACCGGCGTAAATACTCTCTCTGAACTGCTTTCTGCCACACTTTTATTTCCAAGGCAAGTCCAATTTATTTAACTCGTTTAATTACTGCGATTATAACAGCGCAGTCTGCGTTTTGAGATTAAATCAGGTACTCCTTTCATTTGAGCTGCTCTTAAAGAAGAAAGTAAATATTCTCAGAAAAATATGAAAACATATCCTTGAAGAGGAGATGAATGCAGAAAAAAAAAGTCTGAACGGGAAGACAGAAGGTAAACACTCCGGTCGTGGATTGCTGTGAAACGGACTGAGATAACTTTAACTGTTTAAAAGACATCGGCTTCAAACCAGTTCTTCACACTTTGATTGGCCCAGTGTGGGCGTTCTTAAGCTCAATTTCTCAGCAAAAAAAAAAAAAGAGCGAGAGAGAGAGAGAAAAAAACCCTACCTCCGGTACACTGCGGCGTGGTGATTCAAACATCAAACCAGGCTGCTCAGAGAGAGTAAAATATGCACAGCTGCCAGACTCAAAAGGTGGACCAATGGTTTGCATAAAAAGGAGGAAATAATCTCATTGTAATGGTTTGGAGTAGGTCATGTGGGGAGTCTGCATGTGGTATTTTTTTGTTAAAAAAATTTTTTTTTAATTAGCATTTCTATGAGATCTAATTTCAGAGACCATTGTGTGAAACAGACTACTCTCAAATAACTAGGCTGCAGATTAAAAAAAAAACAATATTTCTCCTAAACTCTTTCGTGAAGCCATGAAAAGTGCCCTCTTTACCCATCATGAGTTCAAAGTCCATGCGAGGCTTGGCTGATTGAACCTCGTTTCTCGATGATTTGATTGTCTCTCGCTGATGGATGAAGACTTTGACTCCTTAAAGCCATCTGGGTTTGCATCGGCGTCCTTCACACTCCAATCCAAAGCTCTAATTTCCAAACATGGACGCAACATGTCGCCTCCCTCTGTTTTCACACACATTGCTCGCAAATCACAATCTCACAGCTGATCAGAGGTTTCAAAGGGATTCTCTTAATTAAACACATTTCTCCCTCTGTATTTGATTTCCGCACGGCTGATGGCACATTCCAGCAAAGCCAGCTGCATTGCACAAAGCTCGCGTGATCGTGTTTCTGTTGTTTCTACATTGCCAGTACAAGCTCTTTGAGTTTCATCTTTCTCTAGAGGTCTTGGCTGCAATTATGGCCAGTTTCCACAGTCACATTTCCTGAATTACAAACCAGGATACCTGAAATCTCAGCGTTTCCTGCTAAAAGCAGCTTGTTTTTCACCACTTTATAGCTAAATCCATTTCATCGGGTTGTTCTTGGGTCACTTTTACTTTTCAACTCGAACATTTGATGGGACTCTTTACAGAAATGATTGGTAAGATCAAATGTTCAATGTTTGGAGCCTGGAAACAGCAGTTTTTCACTAATCCTTCAGAGGGCATCACTCTGCCTCTAATTGCCTTTCTGAGCACAGAGTTGGAGACTCGACACTGACACTGTAATTGTACTTAAATTTACTCAAAAAAGACTTGAGACTTGGGTCAAAGGAATTGAATTTCTCAAAGATTTCGGATCTTACGCGAACATGTTGGTCACAGACTTCACCGGGTTTTTGGGACTAAAGGCTCAAATCATGAACTTAAGACGGTAAACTTGATCGGAGTTGTCCTTTACATTGTAGGAAGTTGATTTGAACTTGAACTTATTACTAATTGCTTAAGTCATAATTGGGACTGGAGACATGACTTGAACTTGCCCCACAAAGTCTTGGTATCTGACTTAAACTTAGCATTATAAGACTTGAGACCTTGTCCCATAAACACAACAGAAATGGAGCAAAATTACCTGAACCTTGATTTGAACGTCTGCCTCAATGATTCACAACTCACTTTGCCCTTTGAATGCCAAAGGCCTGACCTGGTGTTGGGGTGAAAAAAAGACTTGGCTTGGTCTTGGGACTTGCCAGTCCAAGACTTGAAGACTTGACTTGAATTTGTCTCTTGAACACTTCAGACGTAAGAATAAAAAGCTGAGTCTAAGCTTGAGCCTACCCTTCCAGGACTCAGGTTTTGCCCCTCAAAGACTCAACTTGGAAGTGCCCTAAATAGGCCGAATCCTTCATTCGGAGTTGGTGCTAAAGATTTTAGACTCTGTTTAGACATTTCCCCCAAATACTTGATGAAAGAACTGAAATTTGTCTTGGACATGCCCCGTGGACTTTGGACCAGAAACATAGGAGTTGCCTTGGACTTTACTCTCACAAATGAAAACAAGACCTTAAGATTTGCTTTGAATAATATGACTTAACGTCTCTTCGTACCAGTCCCTTCTTTTTGAATATAAAGCAAGCCGAAATGTCAATTCCCAGCTTTCTGACAGAGCCATTTTTTTCCACAAAAAGCCTTGCTGAGATGGAAATGAGTTCACGGGACACACATGTACGACTTTGTGTTTCAGGGACAGACAGATGAAACATCTTCATGTGGAGTTTAATGTTTGATGTCATTTCTGTCAGTTTTGAGCTCAGTTAGAGCTCAAATCTTCTTCTAAGCTTTTATACTACAGCTTTTATTAATTTTTTATTAATTTGGAGAAATCGTTTACACAGCTACCATTTATTTTTGTGGGGGTTTTTTGTATTTACTTAAATTCTGCATTTTGTTTCTTGCTGTCTTGCTTGTGTTGTTGTTGCATACTTATTTTCTAAGTAAAATGAAGGCAACATGCATTTTGCAGGCTGCTCTTTTGCTAGAAAAGTTCCCATCGTATAAATATGCAACAGCCTAAACAAGTAATAAAAAGCTAATTGTTCAAAATGTTCTGAACAGAGAACTGATATCTTTTAAATTACGATTTGAAGCAGAAATTACTTTTTGTGTTTCCTACTTCTAAGTTCAAGAAAACTTCATTTTTAGCACCTTTCAAGGACCAGTCAAGTGTTTTGGGTGTGTCGATACACATTTCAAAACATATTTTTATTCGTCTCTGCTGTAAAATGTAGAATAATATCACAAGACATGAGCAGTATATAATAAACTAGTGATTAAACTGTCTTCTTTAGTTAATGTCTAATGTTTTTATCTCAAATGTGGTGCTGGAAAATCTTGAAAACTTACCTTGGAAATGTACAAACCCTGGTTTTATCTTTTTTGCTGGATTTTCTCTTCCACCTTTTAAGGTCATGTCTGTCTGTGATCTGGCATTAAATGGCGACCTTGTCTCTCCTGCACAGGTGCAGCGCATAGAGGAGCTGAACGAGCTGGACATGGAGCTCTACGACTACGCCAAGGACCTGTTCCAGCAGCGCTACCAGTACACCCGGCAGCAGGAGCGGTGGCAGCAGCGCATCAAGAACCACATGCAACAGAGCCGCCAGGGCCTGGGCCTGAGCGTCGGCCTGTGGCCCTCCCGCGGCCAAGCTAGCTCACAATCAACACTGGAGGAGGGGGACAGGGAGAGGGGCGAGAGGGAGGAGCGGGAGGACGGAGAGGAAGGGGGCAGAACGGAGGAGGCGGGCGCCAGGCTTCCCACCGAGGACTACATGAACCAGATCATCAAACGCTGGTAGCAACAGAACGAGAACAAACGACAGACATGCATACATAATGTGAAAGTCATACTCATATATACACACACACACACATACTGAGAGAGGAGAGAGAGAGAGGTGCATCTGCGGAAAGCGACGCCTCCATCAAAGACCACAACCAAACGCAGACTACCGCAGATCTGGGCCGCAAGACTCGCAGTCTTGGGGGGGTTGCTATAGCAACCGGAGGCTGGTAGCTTGCATCGACTCTCATTATTGAGGTTCGCCCAGTTGTTAATGGCGCCTGCTTGCCCTTTCGCCTCCCTGCCACATCTTCCTCGTTTCTTTGTCTCTGCCATCATCGTTACTTCCTGAGCGGAGGGAGAGCGGAACATTTTTAGAAGTTGCTGACAACGTCCCGGCTTCCCCTCTCCATGTCTCTCGCCCCCTCTGCGGCCCGGCGGTGGAGACGGGAGCGGAGCGGAGCACAAGGAAAGGAAAATCAGGTCTGTGAGATTCAAGGAATCCTTTCCAGATGCTCCCATATCAAGAGAAACTGGATAAGCTCCGAACAAAGGATAAAAAGTATGACAGCGTTAGAGACCGTATCAGGGAGCAGAAAAAAAAAAAAAAAACTGCAGAAAGTTGTGTAATGAAAGCTCTGCGCTTGCATAAAGCACCCATTTCATCCATGAAGCATACATGTGTCCTGCAACAGTCGTCTTCTTATTATTTTTAAGATGCTCTTATTTTTGTCTTGGTCCTTAAGCTTTGTTTAAAAGCAAAATTGTAATAACACTGAGACCAACTTTGCTGCCTAAAGAAAATTCCTTTTCTTTTCTTTTTTTTTTTAATTGTTTTATATGTCAAAAAAATAAGGATTGGATAGATGAATAATGGACCATAGCCATTACTGAAGCCTTTGCTTCTTTTAGGAAGGGTGTCGCCAGTGTGTCTGATAAAGGTTCCCAAAGCTCCTGTCACTTTAACAAGTTCATTATTTTTGCCTTTTCTCTTTTTTTTATTTTTTATTTTCGCTTGGTGCATCTGAGTCCTGCAAAGAAAGACAGCCAATTACAGAACCGAATCTCACATAGGTGTGAAGAAACCAGTAGCAGCGGGGTGGGGGTGGGGGGCAGCGAGTGAATGTGCTGTGGGTTGTTGCCAGGAACCGTGCAGCGCGAGCGGCAAGCGCTTTGGAAGCCTTAACTCGGACAAAAATGCTTGAAATGGGAGCTGGAGAACTACCGGTCACCATGGCAATGTGAGCTCTTAATGTAGTGGGTGGCATTTTAGCTTCTCTTCCTCTTCTCCTGTCTTTTTTTTTTATTTTTTTTTATGTCTTGACTGCGTTGTAAAAGCAGCCGTCTCATGCAAGCCTTCCTAAAGGGCAAACGTTGCCGTGGTGACCTGCAGCTTGTCGGCACGAAGAACGGACGAGGCGAGGTAGCAGTGCCTCTATGTACTTGGATCATAGTCAACATAATTATTGCCAGATATTAAGTCTGCATTGTACTACAGTAATTTCTTTGACTACTTGTGAGTTTGTGAGAGAGAGTGTGTGTGTGAGAGTGTGTGAGAGAGAGAGTGTGTAAATATAGTGTGTACAGGAAGCCAGACTGGTGTTTGCCTTTGTAAATAGTGAGAATGACCGACAGAGGATGTTTGTGAACGACTCGTTTCATGACCAATTACCTTGCCATTTCTATTTTTTTTTTTTTTTTGTTGACAGATCACACTCATACAAGTCCTTTTCTTGTCTCCTTTCCATGTTTCGGTCGGAACCCACAACTGTAGCTTTACACTATTTCTAATTGTACAGTGAAATGACCAATCTGCACTTTTTAATCCAGCTTTTGAACCTCAGCATATCCCCGTTACTGTCAGTCCTTGCACCCCTCCACGTGCAGACCTTACTGTGAAAATAAAAAATAAATAAAAAAAAACCGCTCATATTTTTTTAAACTGTTTTGCAGCTGCTTGGTCGTATCTTCAAAGGTACTTCCGCGGTCCCACGGGGCCCGGCTTGTTTACCTGTGCGGATACATGTTCGAGTGAGGTTGGGTTTCCACAGACTATTGGGCTGGATGTTGACACGCGGCCGGCAGCTGGTTTGGCCCCAGGTGTGCGTTTTATTAATCTCTGCGGGAAGTAGATGCTTGAGATATCTTCAAAAAATATTTGGAGACGCATCTTATGTTATTTCTCCCCCCTCCCTGCAAGGTTTGTGTTGGAAACCAATTTTAAGTGAATCTCAGACTTTAAGGCATGGAGGTGTCGGCTGCAGTGCCTTGCGAAAGTAACTACAACTCTTGAACTAAAAACTTTTTATTTTGAGGGGGGACTTTATGTGATGGAGCAACACAAAGCAGAGCATAATTATGTGAAGAAAGAAAAGAGATCTGCGTCAACTGCAAAAGCAAATATCTTGGTACGCTTGAGAAAAACAAACTTACAAATGACAGCAGGTTGTTTTGAGTCAAAAAATTAAATAAGTCGACAATTTCTTAAGATTGAAGGAAAAGTACTGGTTCCGATAGCAGATTATTTTTACTTATAGCAAGACATTTTTCCCATAAGTGAAATAATCTACCTGTGGAACTAGTATTTTTTCATCAATATTAGGGAATTATTGACTTAACGAGCTTCTACATCCTGCTGAAAAGTTACTAGTAAGTTAGTTTTTTCTTATTTCAAACATGCAGAGATATTTGCATGAGAAACTAGATTAAAAATACTTGGGAAGACTTTGTGTTTTGCAATGCTAAATTTCCTGCACTCGTATTCTGGCTGCTCCAATCTGGACTCGTTGAACCACTTACCGCTCCAATTCTTTTACCTTAAGTCTCTTCAAATCAATACATATTTGCATGTTCTTCTTTCATTTCCTTTTGTGACTTTCTTTCATCAACAGCTTTCTTCTGTCCAGATGTGTGGAGCACAGAAGTAGTAGTTGTCCTGTCAACGGGCTCTCTGCAGAAAGTGTCCTTTTCCTCCCATTTAATAATTGTGCATTACTTTGATTTGATCTAGCACATGAAATCCCCCCTCAAAAATGTTGAAGCTTGTGTTTCCTTTATGACAAATCTAAAAGTTGAGTGTGAAAACCATTGCGAGCTGCTGCTCACCGGCAGTTAATCTTATGGGGGTTTATTCCCGTGTTTTGCTAATGGGATACGCTTAGGGAGCTGCTCGCGAAAAACAAAGTCGTGTGTTTATAGTGAAATAAATGTCCTCGACATGTTCGCTGCCTGTCTGCGTACGTTCGTTTCACGTAAAGCAACAAACACTCTGTTATACTTTGACTCCAGACGGTATTAAAATGAGTAATATGAGGGAAAACCGAGGGGAATGTTAAAGTATGCTGGAAAGAAGACGGGCTTTTTTTGCGTGTTGTAATTCAAACTGCATTTAGATGATGGATGCAGGCATCCTGCTTCCTTCGTCTTTGGAAAACATGATGCAACCGGTTTTCTTTTAAAGCCCGGACCGTTAATCTCGGCTAATCACCACAGAATCCTGCCTTGGTGGTGTGATCAGCTTGGTTTTAAATCAGGAATGATTCATCATGGGAAGGAGAGAACCAGAGGGATCATGCAAAGTATTAGGACTCATCCATCGCCAGTTTGAACATTTTTGCACAGTTTTTAAAGTAATGCAATAGGGAGAGAGAAACAGATATGGGAGGAGAGACCCTCCCTTTTCATATCAGCTTCCCCGTCTTTGTCTTTTTTTTTTTTTTTGGAACTGGAGACTTGAAAACGTCGCAGCTTCAGGCATTTTGCCCATAACTTCTTCTAAATCAGAGCCGGGCTTGCATTGGTGTGTGTTTGGGCTCCAGTCCAACGTTTGTTGGTGTAGAGCAAAACGGCAAAAACCCATTCTCCATGTATGGAGGTTTATTTTTGTTTCAAGCGTTCCAGTTTTGAGTGAATCAGGTTTGAATCAAATACTGTTTGTCTGAGTGCGTGTGTTTGCGTGCGTAAAAGAAAAGAAAAGCTTTTTACTGACATCATTCCAGAGAAAAGGTTATGCTCAAATATATTATTTCGTTATGTTTATCTGATGTCTTAACATTGTTTCCTTTGTGACAATAAAGCAAATCATCATCCTTCTCTTAAAGACGTGTTAAAGAAAGTGTGAAAGGGATTTGTTTTTGTTTGTGTTGTTTTTTTTTTTGTTGTTTTTATTAATTGGTGAGCAGACTCTCTGCCTCCCTTATGTATGCATATTTTTCTGGGTTTGTTTTCTTATGATTGCAAAACTGAATCATCAAACCACCAATTAAAATATTTCATTTTTACAGACCTGTGTTGTGTGTGTGTTTTTTAAACGTATATAGATATGAAATGCCAGTCATATTGCCAAAAATATTTGTGTTTTGTGAAGCTAATTTATTTATTTTCACAATGGATTAAGTTCATTCGGATGGGAAGGAGAAGTTCTGTAAACGAAACATAGGCAGTTGTGTTGTTTATTGTGGTAAACGTTAGTCATCTCTTTGATTATTGCAATGATATTTACAGCTTACAAAGAAGTTTTAGTTTGAACTACCAGTTTTACTTTTGAAACTTTTAACTCCTGCTTTCAAAAATAAATCCTCAGTAAATATTATAACATGCAGTATATAACATGGACAGCACTGTTGCACTATTGAATGATATTTATTTTAGAGCGGCGTGTGTTTTTATTTATGAGCTTTTCACTGTAGACAGCGATACAATTACAGGTGAACAGGCTGAGTAATAAGACCTTTTTATCAATATAAATATTGTGATTACAGCTATAAGTTCCTATCACCCTTTCCTACTGTGAAAATCTATGTTGAAGTCTTGAATGTGGTGTTTGGTGCAGAGGTGGGTAGTAACTAGTTACATTTATCTGAGTAGGTTTCGGATTAATGCTCTTCTTCCTCCACCTGTAAGTTCAGGGAAACACTGATGGAATATTATTTGTGTCAAACTCTTTCCAATGACAGATGATTAATTTGTCTCAAGGGTATCAGAGTAAAGCAAGCTGCATTACCAAATTTGTATAGATTTTAATTGGTAAAGAGATTAAAACCCACTTGTTTTACTTCCACATAAACTATGAATCGTTCAATTCCAGTTAAAAAAAAAAAAAATCCAAAGTTTATGACTTTATTATGACAACACGTCAAAAACAATCAAGAGGTTAGAATCGTTTTGCAATGAATGATTTTCTCTGATCTTCTTTGAATATTTGATGAAAATGACATCTGAAACACAGAACTCAAAAGACATAGACGTCTCTATTCAAAGCCCCACTCTGTGATTGTTGTGACAGCCCCGTTCAGGAGTTTCACCCCTCGGCTTTCTACGCATCTCCACTCTTGGACCAATCTGTTGCCGGGGGGGTGGCATTTCTGCCACCCGCCGTAAGACCGGCCACAGGACCGTGACCCCGGAAAGCAGCTCGTTCCCGTTTCTAACGACGGCCGGAGTCCTGTCAAAAGTGATCTACGGCCTAATTCAGCCTGCAGACGCACCTTGACTGCTGAACACTCTTTTACGCTCACAAATATTCCTCCTTCCTCCACTGTGGCAGGGAAAGGATTGACAATAACACGCTGGGGGGCAAATTTAATCTCCTGTCCTTGGATAAGACGGAGCAA